TGGGCAAACTGGGATGTCTGGTCACCCTAATACACTGGATGACCCTGCTTCCTGAATCACTGAGCAGGGATCATATATGCCCACCTGCGTGCATCTGTGACTGAACACCCCACCTGAAATCTGAGACTCTGGGCGGATTTTGCTCCTAGACAAGGCCAGCCCCTCCTCTGCTGGGTGACAGATGCCACTTGTTCTCGCCTATTAAAGATGTCACTTCTGAAATACATCCCTCCCACTCCGGCATAATCGATTTGCCCTTCATTACTGGACCCTTCCTATCAGCATATGAATATCACATGTACTGTGATTTCCCATATCAAAAAAAAGAAGATTCTTTACATCACACTCCTTTCTAGCTTCCTCCCTCATTCTCCACTCCCCTTCACTTTAGAACTCTGGAGGCTTGTCTGTACCTGCAGTCTCCTTTTCCTCTTCACCCTTTTTTAAATAATAAAAGATTATTTTCACAATCCTTTTTAACTTTTATTAGGGAACATTTCAAACATCTCCCCGAATAGTGAGATGAGCGTAATGAACCCTCATCTTCCCATCGCTCAGTCTGTTCAGATCCTATAGCAGCACAACGCAGGCATCAGTCATTCTCTCTTGCATCCATCAGTCGGAAGGGCTTCCCCAAATCGCCCCTGCCAAGCTCACAGTGACCTCCACATTGTGGGTCACACTGTGGTCACTTCTCAGGCTTCACTTTTACCCAGACTCCTCACTGGCTGACACCTGTGCCTTTGTGAGTGTTAGAACCCATATCTGGCCTTGTTCTCTTCTTGGGGAGCAGGTACCACTGGCCCAGCCTCTAGAATTCCCCCCAGCCCTTGCCCCTGGCCACTGTTGCTCCTCTTCCTCCCTGGATTTGGGGGTTGAGCAGTTGAGGCACCACCTCTGCCACTGCCCTCCTTGCTGAGCCCCCCAAAACTGGCATCAGGCTGGTCACATCTCCAGCTCTGATCTCAGCACCAGCTCCAACACCCCCCACCCCCATAGCATTTACACACCTCGCCTTATTCTCTGCTTCAGACCCCATGGAGAGTGTGCTGGGTGGCAGGAATGGCCACTCCCAGCTTAGTCCCAGGGAATGCCATCTGGACAGAATGAAGCAATCCATCCAGGGTCTTTCCATGGGTCTGGGATGCTCCCCACAGGGCTCTGGCCTTGTCTCCATCTTGTTGAGGGGGATCCCAAGGCCTCTGAGGCTGTGTGGGTACCAGCGCTAGGCAGCAGCATCCTCATCCCACTTCTCTGAGCTCTAGAGCTGGGTGTGGAAGATGCTCTGAAACCAGACAGGCTGCGCCTGCTCACACGTCCTCACGAAGGGTGTCAAACTGACCTCATCTGCCCTGGACAGAGGGGTTTCTTAGGACACAGGCCTTTCTGAGCTAAAACTGGAACAGCTATGGGCAAACTGGGATGTCTGGTCACCCTAATACACTGGATGACTCTGCTTCCTGAATCATCGAGCAGGGATCCTATATGCCTACCTGTGTGCATCTGTGACTGAACACCCCACCTGAAATCTGAGACTCTGGGCGGATTTTGCTCCTAGACAAGGCCAGCCCCTCCTCTGCTGGGTGACAGATGCCACTTGTTCTCGCCTATTAAAGATGTCACTTCTGAAATACATCCCTCCCACTCCGGCATAATCGATTTGCCCTTCATTACTGGACCCTTCCTATCAGCATATGAATATCACATGTACTGTGATTTCCCATATCAAAAAAAAGAAGATTCTTTACATCACACTCCTTTCTAGCTTCCTCCCTCATTCTCCACTCCCCTTCACTTTAGAACTCTGGAGGCTTGTCTGTACCTGCAGTCTCCTTTTCCTCTTCACCCTTTTTTAAATAATAAAAGATTATTTTCACAATCCTTTTTAACTTTTATTAGGGAACATTTCAAACATCTCCCCGAATAGTGAGATGAGCGTAATGAACCCTCATCTTCCCATCGCTCAGTCTGTTCAGATCCTATAGCAGCACAACGCAGGCATCAGTCATTCTCTCTTGCATCCATCAGTCGGAAGGGCTTCCCCAAATCGCCCCTGCCAAGCTCACAGTGACCTCCACATTGTGGGTCACACTGTGGTCACTTCTCAGGCTTCATCTCCTCCGACCTCTCACACCTTATCACAGCTGATGACTCTCTCCCAGAAACATGGAATTTTTTTTCCCACTTGATTTTCAAGACACCACCCAGGCCTGCTTTTCTTGCTTCCTGGCTGCCCACTCCTGATTGGTCTCCTCTGCAGGTCCCTCCTCACCTTCCCACCCTCATCTCTTTCCTGGAGCCTCTGTTCCCCTGGGAAGCCTCACTCACCCTGGGGAACCCATGTCACCCAGCGTCCAGCTTCCTGTACCAGAAACTCCCATAGTTACATCCCCAGCCAGGACATCTCCCCTGAACTTGTCCACATGGTTGATTAAGAGGCCTCTAAAACTTAATATGAAGCCAGACTGAATTCACATCAGCCCCAGCCTCTGCCAAGACCTCAGTCCTCCCACTGACATTGTTTTCCTAATGCCTCAGGTCACAAGTGTTACGTTTTTCATTCCACCTGGAGTGGCAACCAGATTCCCAAGTGGTCCCCAGGCCCCGAGTGGTCCAGCCCCACTCTGACTTTACCCCCTCCTGCCCACAGCCCGGCCCCATCTGCTCCAGCCTCACAGTTGTCCCTGTGCCAGCTGGTAAGGTGGGGGCAGTGGGCAGCTGTTCCCTCCACCTGGGAGACCCTCCCCCCAAATTCCAGAGGACTTGACCTTTCACCTCCTTCAGTCTTTGCTCAAATGCCACTTTTATTCTCGAGCATCTGGATGTTCTTTTCAATAGCTGCAGCTCCTCCTGCATTCCCTGCCTCATTTTGCCCCATAGCTTTTAAGTCCCTGACATGCTTTGTAGATGTACTCCTTTATGTCGGTCAGCTCTCTCTGGCATGTAAGTCTATTGGCCGCATCCTCAGGCCTAGAGGAGTGTCTGGCATGCAGCAGGCACTCAGCTTATGTGCCAACCTGGGCAGCAGTACCTGCCTCCTCCAAAGGGGACTCACTTTGAGGCTCCTGTCTGTCCGCATGGAATCCATCTGCCCATCTTTCTCTCTCTCTCTCTCTCACACACACACACACACACACACACACACACTCACACGGCTGGAAAGGCCTGAGGACACTGCAGGTTAGCACAGGTGCACCGCGGTCACCACCATGCGGAAGGGCTCTAGGCCTGCTGTGGCCTGGGCTGCCCTGGTGGAGGTCATAGTAATACAGGATGGTCACGTGCGGCTCTCTCCTGCAGACTCAAAAAGAGCCGCCCTGTTTGAGATCTTTAACCAAACCGCCCAAATAGCAGAGGGTCTCCATAGCTGTGTTCATCGAGACAGACTTTGAAAAATTATCTAAGGAGGCTGAGCTTCGTCTCTGGAAGGATAGACCCTACTCATCTAGAGTAAATGCTCCAACTCCTGATTTGTCTTCTTTTTTAAAAAAAAATGAAAAGTATATATGAAGCATGCCATATATATGTATATATACTTTATATATATTACCATTTTAATTGACTTACAGTGTGGTGTCAGTCTTTGACCCATCTTCTTTTTATGGCTTCCTCTATTGCACCATGTGTCTTCTATGAAAGAGCCATCGTTCACCAAGTGCTCACAACATGTGGGTCTCACTGACCCACCACCCACACGCCACCTCAGCCCCTCCATCCTCATGAGGCAGGATGCGTGGGCCTTGGGCAGCATCTTTGGAAGCAGGTATGAATGTAACCTCACGAGACACCCCAAGCCAGAAGCACCCAATTGAGGTGCTCCCCAATTCCTGGCCCGCAGAAACTATGTGAGATAAGAAATGTTTATTATGGGTGGAAAATGCTCCCTTCTAATTTCTTGCAGAGTGATGGGTATTTATCCCAAAGAAGATGACACGGAGGTCGCACATCCCAGCCTTGAGTTGATATGAATGTGTCTAGGATGTCAAGGGTTGTGTCTTTTACCGGAAAACCCCTTCCCAAGTCATCTGGTCCCAATTTGATTCTGCAACTCTCAGTAGCCACAAATGCCACCTGAATCCTCAATAAACTTTATTTAGACACAAAGAGACACAACAGAAAATACATACACAGATACATATTTTTTTTTTCTCTATAGGATGAACAAACATCACAGAGGGAATTTAAAAATCGGGTGCACGGAATGTAAGAAAAAAAATCGCAAAGTTCCTTGTTCACTCACACTTGGAACAAACACATATTTCAGAGGAAGACAGGGATACACCATCCCTACAACAGAATTCACAGTTGTCTATCACAGTACACAGGTGTTAGGAAGGTAATCAAAGGGCTGGGGATCCAGTTACTCTTGGTGTGACAGGATGCTCACAAGCCTAGTAGAACTCTGTTGAAACAAAAGACAGGATCGAGGATGCCACACCCCCTGCACAGAAGCTCTGCAAGCTGTCGGCTAGATCATAAAGCAGCTCAGCAGAAACGCCACGTTAGGGTTCAGCTTGCGGCTGGAAGGTCTGTGTAACCTCTACCTTTGTGTCCCCATCACGGAGAGTTTACATAGACACAGTTAGGACGCTGAAACTCTCGACATGCATGCCGGCTTCAACACCCCCCAGGACAGAACATTGACATCGATGTACTAAATGTGGCTTTCAAACGGAAGAGGAATAATAGCCAAGAGGAGAAGGAACACTGTGCATTGTCAGCAGTGTTTCCCGCCTGTGGTCCCCTCCCATGGGGAGCCATGGGCATCTGTGTCCTGCTCCATGCCATGGGCGGGGCAGGACGCATGCCTCTTGGGAGTCTATTATTGCCTTCTAAAGTCACACCTGTGAAGCCACGCATGTCATCAGGGTAAGCAGCCATGGAACCACCCCACTTATCCTGTCCCGGACCAGCCTCTGGCCTCCACACCATCTTCGCCTTTCAGATCGGGGTTCCCTAGGCAACCTCTGTATTTTAGTAAAAAATGGTTTCCACTGTACCCTTCGTGTGTCCTCTTCCTAATGTGACAAATCCAGATGAGATGAAGTTATGGAGATCAGGTCCTCCACTTCGGTAAGCATCCTTCCCATAATGTCCTGCAAGAAGACGGGGCAGAATTACCTGGCGCATCCATGACACCAACAAGACAAACGCTGCTATTCCGGTTCACTCAACAATGGTGGTGAACTTAATTTCAAATCAGCAGCTAAGTCAGAAAGTAGAAGCAATCAAGGAAGATATATATATTTATATTATATTATTTTATAAATTTATATATAATATATATTATAAATATATAAAGTATATATGAAGTATGCCATATATAATATATATATTACATACTCTATATATTAAAATTTTAAATATATACACATATATATTGTGTGTGTATATATATATATATATATATACACACACACACACATATATATACACACTCACACATACACGCACATATAACTGCAACAAAGAAGAAAGTTCCAGGAAGCTTATGTTGAAAGCAGAGGTGGGGGAAAGGGCTTGACTTTGGCATTTCTGACTGAGCACATCAGCGCTTCAGTCTGAACTGAACTTGTCCTACCATCCTTTGCTTTGTCCCAGCTTCCTTCTTTCTTTTTCTTGTCTTATTCCTTTGGTTTCTTTCTTCCTGAAGCATAGAAATGTGGTTTTGATTGAAATGCTCTGTGTGTGTGTATGTTTATGAATCATACCTCATCCTATGATCTATATAGCCTTGTGGCTTAGGAGAAATCCAACGTCACCGAGGCTGACAAGTAGGGTGGTGGCTCTGAAACACTGGGAAAATATTTATGTGCTTTTCTCTTTCAACTTTCTGCAGTAAGATTTTATCTCTCGTCAGCCTCCTCTCTCCATCTACCTGTGGGGTTGGGGTGAAGAAAAGTCTTAGACCCTGGGAGAAGACATGCAAAGAGAAAAATAGTTACTGTTCTTCTTCTGACATTTGATGTAGGATTCCACAGTACCCCTGAAGTACAGGCATTGTAAGGAAAGAAAGACCTCTCTAAATGCCATCTTGAAGTATATACATGTGAAAGTGGAGAAAGCCACAAATATGTTGCCACAAGAGCATGTTAAAAACTGTACTTAACAATTAAAAACTGAGAAGACTACCTAAGATGTAAAGTTAAGTAAAAAAGTGGAAGAAAATACTATAGTAAGTATGACCACAATTCTGTAAAAAATGCAAACCAGTGTAGTTTAAAACAACAACAAAAAAACAAGATTGAAAGAAAACACACTGATGCCGACTACCACCTTTAGATAGTTGGAACATGAGTTTTATTTCTTCTCTCCTTTCAGCTTTTCTGCATTTTCCAAGTTTTTTCCTATAATGAGCATGTCATTATAATATAAATAGGTGAAATACATTTCCAATGGAAAAATGTACAATAAATGTAGATAACCTAAATCACATTTTTTCTGAGCAATGCATCCTCTGCATTAGGTATCAAAAAATGGATGTATGTTGGATTCATCCAGAAGCTTTTAAAAATACAGATGTCCTTACACTGCTCCAGGGATTCTGATTCAGTTGATCAGGAGGTGTTTTATTTTTTGTTTTTTTTAAAGGTCTCCAAGTGGTTCTCATGGTGGCTCATATAATAAAGAATCTGTCTGCAATCTGGGAGGCCCCAGTTTGATCCCTGGGTTGGAAGGTCCCCTGGAGAAGGGAATGGAAACCCACTCCAGTATTCTGGCCTGGAGAATTTCACAGACAGAGGAGCCTGGCGGGCTATAGTCCATGGGGTTGCAAAGAGTTGGACACGACTGAGTGACTAACATTTTCACACAGGGAAGAAGAGTAAACGCATAAACAACCGAAGTTCAGGNGGGGGGGGGGGCGGCAATGAGCGCTTGCTGGAGTCCTCATGGGTGCCTTGCCCCACCCTCTATTTAGGTCCTGGACTCCAGCATCCTTCCTCTGAAGAGTGGAGTCTGGCTGGACCAGTTTCTTCCTTCTCCCAGATCAGAGGGTCTCAACCCTGAGTTTGCATCAGAAAAAAACAGAAGGGCAGATTAAAGCCTGCCGGGCCCCATCCCCAGAATTTCTGAGTCAATTGATCTGGGATGGGCCTCAAGAGCTTGCATTTCTATCCCGTCACCCTGATGATACTGCTGCTGCTGAGTCCAAGGTCCAAACTCTGAGATCCATACTCCAAGTGTATCAGGAATATAAAAGAATTTTACCACTGTATCCCATAACATCCTCCACTCTGGAATAAATACCTCCTTCTTTGGGGCACACAGCTTTCCATGAGGAACTTTCTGGCTGTAAAAGACTGTAGTCACAACCCAGAATTTTATAGAAAAGAATTATTAGAGCTGAACTAAGAGGCTTCTGCCCATATCCCAAGCCATGTCACGACTCCAGAAACCCAACTCTCATCCCGGAAAAATGCAACTTCATTGAGGGATGAAGGAGAGAAGGACGAGGGAGTGTGGAGGGGTACAGTACAAGCCCCAAGGAAAGGGGGGCCCTTGTCCTGTAACAAGTTACTTCCCCCCCACTGCCCCTCCCAACAACAGAAGAGTAAGAAATGGAAGTAGCAATTCCGAACCCTCATAAATTTGGACCTCATTAATTCAGAACCTCTGATACATCCTGCAGAGTTTGGTTTATTTTTGTGCTCCTTATAAATAAGATTTTTGATAAACAAATCAATACTGAGAGAGATGGCACATAAAACAGTACCTTTGCTACTTGAAATCATCCTAATCTGTCAGCTGGAACAAGGTCCCTCAGGGCTAAGTGCTGCTTACTGCTTTGGGGCTGAGCTTGATTGAAAGCCAACTCAATCACCCAATCCCTACTGTGGGCCAGACAGAGGGACAGAGCCTCTGAAAACGTGGTTTCATCTGTGTGACACAACAGCAAACATTTTGTAGCATTATGCAGTTTACAAAGATCATTCATACATGGTTTTCTTAAAGTTTTAATCATTACTGCATTGTAAGTTCTCTAGTATTAAAATATTATTCTCCCATTTTATTGGTAGAAAAACTGAGGCCAAGGGTGGGAAGTTGGAAGATGACTGAGCCATCACTAGCATCCTGGTCTTTTTTTTTTTTAACTTTTAATTTTGTATTGGACTATAGCCAATTAACAATGTTGTGATAGTTTCAGGGGAACAGTGAAGGGACTCAGCCATACATATGCATGTATCCATTCTCCCCCAAACTCCCCTCCCATTCAGGCTGCTGTATAATATTGAGCAGAGTTCCCTGTTCTATACAGTAGATCCTTACTGGTTATCCATTTAAAATATACCAGTGTGTACATGACTGTCTCAAACTCCCTAATTATCTCTCCGTCCCCCGCAACCTTACCCCTGGCAACCATAAACTCATTCTCTAAATCTGTGAGTCTGTTTTGTAGATAAGTTCATTTGTATCATTTCTTTTTAGATTTTCCACAGAGCATCCTGGTCTTCTGACTCCAAACCCCTTGTCAGTTCTCTCTTGCACACCTGGCTTCATTTCCTCCTCACAAGAGCCCTGTGTAACAACGGTCAGTTTTCTAAGTTCATGGAGCTAGGCAGTGGCAGACCCTGGATCCCAGCCAGGTGTACCCATCTCTACATGCACAATCTTTCTATAGCCCTCCCCAAGCCAGCTCACCCCTCGGTCTGAACCAAGTGTAGATGTGACTCTTCCCTGAGACTTGAGCCAGGACCCACAGGAGTCGCTTTTCTTCTCTGCAGCCTTGACCCCAAGTCCATGCCCTCCTGCTGGGCATCAAGGTGAAGGTCACAGCAGTACAAATTTTGCCCAACCTGCAGTTCCAGAGAAATGACCCTACACCCAGCAGAGCTCCAAGCAGAGGCTAGGGGGTGCTCTGTGAGCACACTCAAGTAGCATGGATACACACCCACGTGTCAACACCACACACACAGCCCCGGATCAGGTCCCACGAAGGTGGGGCTTCCCTGGCAGTCCAGTGGTTAAGAATTCACCTGCCAGGGCAGCGGACACAGATTGGATCCCTGGTCCAGAAAGATGCCACTTTCCTCCAGGCAGCTAAGTCTGTGCACCACAACAATTGAAGCTTGCAGACCCACAACCTGTGCTCGGCAAGAGGAGTCCCCAAAGTAAGAGAAAGACGACATGCAGCAACAAAGACGCAGCATAGCCGAAGTAAATAAATTATATATATACATATATTTTTTCTTTTTCTTTTTTTTTTTAAAAAGAAAGCAGCTATGAGTAAACAGAAAGTTTCTCTGTAAAAGAGATGTGCTATAAAAAATAGGAGGGGGAAAATGAGGTAATATCTGAATGATGACCTCAATAAAATTTATGAGAATTTTGCACTGGTTAAATTCCACCCACAGCTATGGGAGTGAAACAAAGTAACCTAGACAGTTTGCCTGAGTTGTAAATAGGGACAAGCCTATGGATGCTGAAGAAATTGGTGAAGTCAGTTCCAATGAGAGGGACATACTGGGTGCTCAGTGGGGAAGGACAGAGAGACAAGACAGGAGAAAAGATGAGAAAAAAAGGACAACCCTAGAAGTTACTATCTATTTAAAATAAGATGCCCAGGGGAAAAACAGAAGGGATAATTCAGAAGCAATAATTAAAAGTTAATAGACTTTTTCTGAGCAGATAGAAGACTTTAATCTTTAGTCAAATATCAGACATATATTAGAAGGATCGATATCTAGATATATACACTAGTGAAATGCCATTTAGAAAAAAAAGGGAGAAATGCAAACCAACTTCATAAAACACTAAACCTACAGAAAGCGAAGCAACCTTTTAAAGACTTTTGAGACCATTATTTCAGTAGACAGGAGAGGATGGAGGAGAGACAAAATGGATGAAGGAGATGGAGAAGCACAAACTTCCAGTTATAAAATAAATAAATCATGGGGGTATATAGTTCAGCCTGGGGAATGTAGTCAATAATATTGTATTATGTTTGCATGGTGACAGATGGTAACTAGGCTTACTATAACGATCATTTTGCAGTGTATTATATACAAATGTCAAATACTAATATAATTTTGTATATCAATTATACCATAATAAAAAAAAGTTCAAGAAGTGTTTTTTCTTATTTTGTTGAGTTTGT